AAAAAGACTTGTTGGGAAAAAATGTAAAATAATTAAGTATAAATGTTTAAGACACACAAATGCATGTACAAGTAAAAGGAAAAACAATTAATATATATTTAAAAAACAGTCAAATTAAAATTGTGTTCAAATGTATAGACTAATTTATTGGAACTAAGCTGGGAAAATAAATTTGGAAGTCAATTAAAATATAAAACAGGCAATAAAATTCTCCTTTTTTAATTTAATTGGTGCATTTTAAGTGTATTTATTTAGTGGTTCATGTAATTCTGCTTTTATTTCTAATTATGTCAGTTTTGGTCCTCCGTACTGCAGAAGACTGAAAATCACCTATCAGGTGTGTTGGAGCAGAGAAACAAGTAAAACATGCAGGGCTGCGGCCCTCCAGGACCAGGACTGTCCATGCCTGATCTAGGAGATGCTTCGAGTGTTTCTTCCTGAGCAATAAGAAAAAAAAAAGGGAGGTCATGCCTCCAGTTGCTTTATTTTACCCTTTCATTGCTGCCATAAATCAATCATGGCCAAAATTAAATGTCTTTTCTGATTAAAAAAATAATTTCTTCATTGGCAGGTAAAATTAAATCTCTTCAAAAATAATGCTAGTTAAAAAAAGAATTATAAATTAAAAATAAAGTTCATAAATATTCACCCTGTTTYGAGAGACTGTTTTAATTCAACTCAGAGAAAAGATTGTTGAAAAGTCAGGATGGATACAACTAAACATCCTCAGGTGTTCTGTTAAATCCAGTCTGGTTTGGATATGTTTTAATTATGTTAATTTAAATAATATACAGTGCATTGGGACCATGCTGTGCCATGACTCTGACTTATCTTGTTTTAGGTTTATTCACCCTGCAGGTTTCTCTCCGGACCACACCATCAGCATCTCCTTCCGGCTGCTGCAGGATACACCCAGGGAGCCCTTTGCTCTCTGGCAGCTCACCGACAGCGACTTCCAGCCAAAGATGGGGGTGGTTATCAACCGTGAGTAAAACCTCTGCAACCCTCTGTCTTCTAAAGGTGGAGCGGTTTGATGATTGTCTGAAAGTCGTCACACACACTCGTTAAAGTTATGCAAACTTTTCTGCAGCTTCTACCAAACATCTGATGTACTTCAGCCTGGACTACAGAGGAGAGGTTCAGGAGCTGACGTTCGATCAGCCGCAGGTTCACAAGCTGTTCTACGGAAGTTTTCACAAGGTGAGACGAAACACTCGGCTTGTTTGGTTCCATAAACTCTGTTTGCCTTGTTGGTTTCAGTCTGTTATCCACGCTGGTGGTCCCATCAGGAGGAGCGTCGCATTCAATCTGAAGCTTGTGTAAAAATTGTTTTCTGTGCCAAAGTCAAAAAGTGACGACAGTTTTGCTCATGTTTGTGCACATGTGCTTTTGTCTGTCTGTTAGCAAAATATCTCCTAAACCAGGGGGCTGATGTTAATAAACTCTCTGCAGCCCTGTTCAAGATGACTGCCACAGTTAAAGACACTGTCAAAGGGCTTTAATTCAGCCATTTTTATAGCTACTGAGCTAAAMTTTTGTGTGTTCGTAGCTAAAAGTMATTTTACAACACACTTTGAGCACAAACTGATTTCACATGATGTTTTTTTATAACTTATCTGTGTCTGTCTGTCTGTTAGTCAGTAACAGAGTGCTACCATCCAGTGGTTCATGACATATTTTAATAACTCAGATTGTCCAGCTGTGTGAATGCAGCATTTATACTTTTTCACACTTTGTTATCAGCTGTTTTGGTCTGTCGGGATAAAAAGTTAAGCTTATTTAAAACATAACAGCTATGATGTTTGGTATTTAAACTTTCATATTTTTGGAATTGCATTAAGATCTCCACATGTTGGAAAACTTTGTTCTCTTTTAATCTACTTTAACAAACTGTCTTCCACTTTAGTTTTTAGCTACTGTTTAGCTTTAGTATTGACTTTTAGCTACTGTTTAGCTTTAGCATTGACTTTTAGCTACTGTTAAGCTTTATTATTGACTTTTAGCTACTGTTAAGCTTTAGTATTGACTTTTAGCTACTGTTAAGCTTTACCTACGTGATTCTTCTGTTAACTTTTAGCTACTGTTTTGCTATTTTTTTAAGTTATGTGATTTTAATTTTTGCTACTATTCAATTGATTTTAGCTTTCAGCTACTGTTCTGCTTGGCTTAGCTTTTACTTACTGTTTTGTTAGTTTTAGCTACTGTTTTGCTCAGTTTAGAGTCTATCCACTGTTTTGCTAAATATAGCTTTGTGCTACTGTTCTGCTGATTTTAACTCTATTTTTAGATCTTAGTTTATTCTAATTTTAGTTTTATCTACTTCTTAGCTTTTGTTCTGATCGTTTTAACTTCAACATTTCTGTTTCATTTTAAGAAACTTCAGTAAAGTCGTTCAGCACTCAATGTATTTTTTTTCCAGAAAATGTATTTTATAAATTTAATCTAACATCCTGGTCTAATATAAATTTAAAAGGTAAAGTCCCTTGTTGTCCTTGTTCCCTGTTTGTTCTAATCATCTTTCTGTCTTGTTGGCAGGTTCACCTGTCTGTTAGCCAGGTGAGCATATCTTTGTCTGTGGACTGCCAGCATGTAGGTGAGAGACCGGCCCGTCCTCTTGGAAACCTGCCGACCGACGGCTTCGAGATGCTGGGGAAACTGGTGAAAACAAGAGGACCCAACAGTGGCTCCGCCCCGGTACTTTACAACCGTTTGAAATACTTTAAGCTAGCCTTTTGCTACATTTAGCTCTTAGCAGTGGTGGGCACAGCTAACCAAGAAGTTAGTTCACTAACCACTAATTCACTAAAAAAGAATCTTAGCTCCGCTAACACTTACCTGCTGAACGGAGAAAAAAAATTAGAGGAAGCTAATGCTAACCTTTTTGATGTTCTTAGTTTGAAGTTTAGCTGCTTAAGATGCTACATGCTAAACACACTGTTCCCGACACGTCCAGCTCTGCTTGTAAGAGGGGATAGTTTTTATTTATTTTGAGATAAAAGGCATAAAAATTATGTTTTACTCCTGTGATTTTTTTTGGACTTGAAATTAGCCGAAGCTAATCAGTCCACTAAGTGTTTTCAAAGCTAGCAAAAAAGCTACTGCGTTAAATGAGAAGCTAGTTYCGCTACTAGCGGATTAGCGAAACTGTGCCCACTACTGGCTCTTGTTTCCCTTTTGCTGCTTTAGTTAGTCTTTAGCTATTGTTCTCTTTTAGCTAACTGTTTGATGCTTTTTAGGTAGCCTTTTGCTACATTAAGCTGTTAACTAGCCTTTCGGTACGTTTAGCTGTTTTTTTTTTTACTGTATTTAGTTTTTTTGCTACATTCAGCTTTTAGCTATTTGCTACTTTAACTAAGCTTTTTTATGTTTAACTTTTTGCTGTTTTTACTTAGTTTTTTGCTTTTTGCTAGTTTTTGAATTGAGTTAGCGTTTTGCCATTTTTAGGTCGCCTTTTGCTATGTTTTGCTACTATTAACATTTAGCTAGCATTCTGATTCTTTTATCTTTAGCAAATGAGTTTCAAAGTAACTGAGAGCTCAGTGTTTTCACAGAAAACATTGTTTCTGTAGTTGAATCTAGATTCAGTTCAGTAAAATAAAACTGAGCACATCTTATATCTTATGGTTTAATGTTTGTACAATGTTTTTCTCGTTTCTAGTTTCAGCTGCAGTCCTTTGAGATCGTCTGTAACACCACGTGGGCTTCAGACGACACCTGCTGCGATCTGCCCGGAGTGGTCAGTGCTTTACGTCTTTAATCTGCTTTTATTTTGGTAGGGTACCGTTGGTGCACAGTAAGCTTGTTTACAAGATCTCCTTTTGATTATAATGTTTAAATACATAAAAAATGTTTATTCTTTCTGAAAAACTTGGATGTGATATTTATTCCAGTCCACTTCATCTTCTTGATATGAGTTCTTACATTTAACTAAATGTTTTTTTTTCTCTTAACATTCTTTGTTTCTGCCTCAGAGAGATGAAGAGAGCTGTCCTGCTCCTGCCTACAAGTGTACCTGTTCCTCTGATGCTCCAGGAGCTTCAGGTCTCCCCGGGTCAACTGTACGTCACAACAATCACTCATGAATGAACAATAACAGTTATTTTATTCAAGCGCTGAAAATAATTCAGGTGATTATAAAAATGTTACATTTTAACTTTTATCCTTTGCTCCTTCAGGGGAGGCCAGGATCTCGAGGAGAGAAAGGGGACAAAGGAGATCAGGGCCAAAAGGTTTGATGGAAATTGTTTTTCTTGAAGTTCAAAAGGGACAGCATCATTAGGATGTTGGGTAGTACCTGTATAATCTTTTCTTTTCTGTTGGTAATTTAGCAGATAATGAAAAGAAAGGCTGGGTTGAATAGGTAGGAGTGACAGCACAGGAGCTTTTCAGAAAGAGTTTTTAATGCAGCGTCTATTAGAAAATGTAACAAACAAGATTTTTAAGTCTTCTGTTTTTAGCTACCTGCCTCAGAGTGATGCTCTTCTTTAAATTATTCAAATTACTTAATTAGTCATGACTAAGTGCCAAATATTGATCAGTTTTTGGATGATTATTTAAACCCGATACATTTTTGCCCAACCTTAACCTTACCTGGAAATATGGAGTGTTCATGTTAGCTTAGCATTATCTTAGCATTAGCGTTAACTCAGTACCACAATGACTTATAAGTCACTAATTGCAGTCATCATCAACTGCCAAATATTAATCAGTGACAGTTTTACTGACAGTTAATTGCAAACGATACAATATTGCCCAACCCTAGCAGGTACCTGGAAATATGGAGCGTTAGTGTTAGCTTAGCATTAGCGTTAGCACTAACTCTGTGTTAGCTCTCTTCTGCAATGACTTATGTAACTTGACCAAGTGCCAAATATTAATCGGTTTTCAGATTTACATGCTACAGTTTTGCCCAACTCTAGCTGGTACCTGGAAATATTGAGAGTTGGTGTTAGCTTAGCGTTAGCACTGTGTTAGGTCTGCCTGAGCAGCAATGACTTATAAAAGTAAGTAATCTGAGTCACAACCATGTGCCAAATATTAATCGATTTTCAGATTTACATGCTACAGTTTTGCTCAACCCTAACTAGTACTCGGAAATATGGAGTGTTTGTGTTAGCTTAGCATTAGCATTAGTGTATATGCTCAATATTGTGTGTGTGAAATAAAATGCAGTATAATTCACAAGTTGTGTTTATTTCCAGTTAAAAAAACATTTTAGATTTTAGTTTAATTTGATCCAACATGACAGTATTGTATTTGGGATTTAAAAAAATAATAGTAATTTAAATGTTTTCGTGTGGACTCTCTCAGGGGGAGGTGGGCCCCCCAGGAAAGGCTGGACTTGAGGGAAGCCTTGGACCTGTGGGCAGCGTAGGACCACGAGGCATTACGATGCAGGGAAAAATGGTAACACTCTTAGTAATTAGTTTTATTTAATATATAATCCTGGGTAGTTTCAGTTTTTAATCAAATAAATGAACTTGTTTCTGTTCTGTTGTCCCACTCAGGGTCCTCCAGGAGCACGGGGAGAAAAAGGAGATCCAGGGCAACCAGGAGTACAGGTGAGTTCAACTTCACCTTTAATTCTGCTGCTAGTTCTTCTCTCTACAACCTTTATTCTTTGTTCTTCTCCAGGGTTCACCAGGACCTCCAGGTCCAAAGGGGGAGGTGGGGGTCCCAGGCCCCCAGGTGAGCAGTTTGACCCCTGAGAACAAGAAGAGTTTTTCATCCAGCTGAGCTCAGCGTCTTCATCTCTTATCGYGTTGTGTTTTTCAGGGTATCAGGGGTGTGGAGGGAAACATCGGCCCCCCCGGCAGCACTGGAGCCAGGGTGGGTCTGATCATGTCCAGTTTTTTTATTACTTGTTTTTATTTTGGGACCACCTTCAGGTCACATTAAAAAGACAAATTCATCCTTTAAGTTCATCATTTTCTGTTCATGCAGGGTTTCCAGGGAGTTCCAGGACACCCAGGACCTGTTGGGGACAGGGGACCCCCGGGGTCTGTTGGACCAACGGTAAAACCTGAGGGACAATTAAAAGATTTAAAAAGTTCACACTGCAGTTCTGTGTTTGTTAAATAAACTACCTGATCCTCAGGGTTTCTTTAGATCAGTTTTTATTAAACTGACACAACAGAAAATTACTAAAATACTCTTATCAGTGTGCATTGCCAATGCAATGCACACTATTGTGATTCGTTTCCCATCCAAGTCATCTCCACTTTGCCATGCTTCTCCTCCTGCATACTTTATCCTAGAGCTGCCATTGTAATTTATATCTGTAAAGCTCCTGTTCCAAATGATGGCTATGCCTTTTGGTGCCTGTAAAACTTATAGTTTATGAAATATTAATGTTTAAAAAATTATAATGGCAGTCAATTGAGCCTTGTATTGGTCCAATACTGCCCCATGCTGTACTCAACTTGGTACCGCACGATAGTTTAATAATACTGTATTTCAACTCAATAGTTCAGTGTTTACAATAATAATATGATTATTATTTTGATGTTTTACTATAATATTGTCCTAATATTGCTTTATTGTTGTAATATATTTCAAATTAGTGACAACTATTACATTGGCAATGTGGCCTCTTTCTGCACACATACAAACCAACCCCTGGCAGGGTTCTCTGCCACAGCACCAATGGTCTCATGGTTAATGCCATGGGCTTTCATGTGGGAGATCAAGGTTCAAAACCCAGCAACAGCAACTTCAGCAGAAAATCTCTACAAACTTCATATTGTCACACAATTACCCTCATTACAAACACCTGCTGACTTGACAAGCACAAGCTGTTATAGAAAACACATTTGAACTTGGTCACACTTCATTCTGCAAGTCCATTGCTGCAGGCAAAGCCATGCTACAWGGCAATGCACACTTGTTTTTACATCGTAAAAACCCATGTCAAGTTTATTCTGTATTTTTCCATCTTAATGACAGAATTAGACAATCTAGTTTTAGGGATTATACATTATCTTTACCTAAAACTAATACATTAAAACTTTCTGTATTATTTAAAGCTGTTTCCTTATGAAATAAACTGTCTTCATATATCACACAGATTCATTCTTTTAAATGACAGCTGAAAGTGACGATTCTTCAGAGGAAAATCTTAAAATAATATTCGGTGTATATTAAATATTTGCTTAGCTTGCATTTGATATTTTTATGTACTAATATTTGTATAATTGATTTAAAAATTTTATTGTTTTTTGTTTGATTTTTGTTTTGGTTTTTTTGTCTTATGTACCAATGATTGTATAATTGATTGTATTAACAATTTGATTATGTCATTGTGATGTTATTGTTAATATGATGTTTTTACGTGGACCCCAGGAAGAATAATTATTGCTGAGATAATAACTAATTAGGATCCTTAATAAACTAAATAAATAATTAATCACAAACACTAACTGTGTGTGGTTAGGATGGGATTTATAGATGATATTTGTAGTCTTAATGTTGACTTTAATCAAGTTTTAATAATACTTTGAGCTGAAACTTGATGTTTTTATTTATTTTTTTATTGTCTCATTAATGAGCGTCTCACAAAGTTTTTCACATGCTGCACTTTTCTGCTCCAATAAGTCCTTAATCTGTTTTATTTGACAGGGTCTGTCAGGAAATAAAGGGGAACAAGGTGAAAAGGTGGGCTTCAAATTCTTAATTTATTTGTCAAAATCAGTTTATTTACTGTTTTCATGCATCAAAACACAGTTAAAATACATCTTTGTTACATTCACTGTTATTTAATTCCAGTTGAATGTAGAAATAATAGGTTTTGAGTCGTTAATKGGTTTGTTGTTGGTGAATCTGCACACAGGGGGAGCCTCAGTCTATGGCCATGATCTACCAGCTGGTCACACAGGCCTGTGAGCAGCTCATACACAGTAAGTGTTTACTGAATGAGGACGGAGGAAAATAACATTTTTTACAGATTTGATTGTTTTATTTTAGTTCCTGCTSATTAAAACTAAACATGCATCTGTTTTTGTCCAGAGGAAGTGTTGAAACTCGACATGTACATCGATAAGATCAGTCGTAAGCCAGCTCCTATAGAGGAGCCTCTGGGGGCCCCGGGAGAACCAGGTATACCGGGGCCCAGGGGTCCACCGGGTGCCAGGGGCCACCAGGGGAGCGTGGGCTCACGAGGCAGAACCGGCAGGGCGGGGTATCCAGGAGAACAAGGTGAGAGTGGATCTGAGGCATCCCGTCAGAGCTGCAGGTCACAAGGCAGCCATCTTTTGTTTCCTGCTGCTCTGCAGGGAGGAGGGGGCTTCCAGGGGAGAAGGGGGACGCTGGCAGCAGAGTCCAGGGACCCCCAGGGATCAAAGGATTTGCAGGTGCCTCTATATGAGTCAGTCATTGTGTGAATGTTTCACACTAGTCTGGTTTAACAGCTTCATTTCAAATGTTTCCAAATCTTTACAGCACCTTTTGTTCTGGATCTGTTTTTTTTTTCTTTCTTTTGCTAATTTTAGCTTCTTTTTGATAATTTCAGCTAAAAGTTTGCTTCTTTCTGTATTCTTTGGCTTTTTTATTTATTTTTTTATACTTTTTTTTTCTATTTTTACTATATTTAGCCATTTGCTGCAATTTAAGCTAAAGTTTAACTGGTATTAGCTAAAGTTAGTTGTGTTGAATAAAGTACCACAAGTGATACAAAAAGTAAAAGTATCTTACCAAAATATTACTTTGGTAAAAGTTAAATTCTCCTTTAGGAATATTACTTGAGTAAAAGTCTTAAAGTATGTGATATTTTTTTGTAGTAAAGTATTAAAAGTCACAGTACTGATTTAAAATGAGCAGTTAGATTTTCTGTAAGGACATTTATTAGGAGGTGACCTCCCCAAAAACTGCAGAAATGACTGTTGTATTAAAAGAATGAATGGATGTTAAATTTAGGATGCACTAGTCCAGCTGTTTCAGTTTATATACATATATCAAGGCTGCACAAAATACAAATACTTCTTAAGTACAGTCCTTTTATTTGAATGRTTCTGTCCTGCTGGAGTGTGACATGATTTGTTTGTGTACAAACTAATACACTATCAGAGTTTTATATATTTATACTTCTCATTCAACCACAGTTAAATTCACTCTATCTAGGAGGCTCAGTTTATATGGATAATTTTTATTTTTACAATAACAAACTGGAATGAAAACAAGCAGAAATGAAATAAAAGTAACAACTTTCTACTTCTTGTGTTTATTAAAAATGTAAGAAGTAAAAAGTACGCTGAAAAATAATTACTCAAATAAAGTACAGATACCCAAAAATTCTACTTTAAGAACAGTAACAAAGTATTTGCACTTAGTTACTTTACAACTGTGGCTGTTTTAATCTAAATACACATTTTTTGTACATATTACAACTTATTTCTGCTAAGTTCAGCAAACTTGTGCTCCTTAAGCTTCTTGATGCTAACTAAAATATTCCAGCTACGTTTTAGCTATTTTACTGAAAATTTTGGCTGTTTTAGCTATTTACTAAAAATTGTCCCTTTTTAGTACTTTCATGCTTTTTTTCCAGCAATGTTTAAATTTTTTCTAGCACTTTCACCATCTGGGTGCTAATTACAACTTGTGTCTGTTACCTTTAGCATAATTATGCTAATTGTAGCTTTTTTCTTCTATTGTAGCTATAGTTCTGCTGTTTCAACTATATTTTTGCTCCTTTTTATTGTTTTTCTGCAAAAGTCAGGCTTTTTTTCAGCTTTGCAAATTGAACTCGCTTTAACACTTTAGCTATTAAATATTTTCAGCTCAGTTTCAGCAGCTTTCAGCTTAAATTTTCAGCAAGAAGCGTTCACACGAACAGTTTTGCAGGAAATACAATTTCTCTAGTTATGATGTTTCTGCAGGCCCTGCTGGAGAGACTAAGACAGGAGACCCAGGTCCAAAAGGAGATGATGGCAACTCAGGACCACTAGGGATTCCAGGACCCCCAGGTCAGCCAGGCGAGGTTGGACCACCGGGTGCGTGTGACAGCAGTGGAGGCTGCCAAACAGTTCCTGAACAAACAGGTTAGTTTTTGAAGAAAACTAAATCCTTATTTACTGTAGTTTATTTTAACAAAAGTTCTGTTGAAGCAATAAAATACCAACATTGTTGCTCCACTCAAAACCTCCGTTAGACCTCTTTTAAAGTTGTCTCATCAGTAAAGCATCAACATTTTTTACATTTTTCCTYGTAAAGTCGAAGATTATTAATTCCAGCAGGCAAAGAAAAAATTCTGCTTTTATTAGTTTTTTATATTCTAATAAATGCCCTTGACTAAAATAAATCTCTGTATTTCAACAGACGTTTTATCACAGACAAATACAGTGTTTAAATTTGTTAACTCTTGTTTGTGTTTTCATACAGAAGACCCGTATTATGGCTACGAGCCCTGAGAGGAGGAAACCATGACCGATGTACTACTGTTCTTACATCAGAACTAAATAACAGACTCAGAAAGGAGCTAGAAAAGGACACAGACCAAATTCAGATTCTTGAACGATGTGGTAGTTTCACATAAAAAATAAAAATTGGCAATGATCAAGCCAAAAATAAACATTCTCTGAGGGATCAGTTAATCTCATACAAGAAATTAGCACTGAAACTTTTTGTTTCAAATGTTTTATGTATTCATGCACTGTTAAAAATGTCTATAAAATTTGTATTTTATTTGCATTTTAACCTTAACTGCCTCAAAATACAGAGAAAGCATATTCCATGGTGGAAAAGCTCTTTGTTTTTTTCTCCCATGGCATAAACGAAACTGTGAGAAAAATGTCATATGGATGATAATTTGTATATTTTTATGACATTTATTGTATCTTTCTATTCATGTATATTTTATTCTGTATAAATTCTAACTGATGATTTTTTTTCTAAATATTTGTAATAATTATTTGTGTGGAAAAATTAAAATGTCATGTCTTTTTCTTTTGGCGTATTCTGTCTTTTTAATTGAAATATATTAAAGGCTGAATCAAAAGGGTTTTATTTTTAAAAAGTTCTACTTTTCTTACTGTCTTATAGTTGTGATTTATTTTATGTTATTTTAAAAGAAAAGTGACATAGGAACCGCATTAGATTGGGTTTTGTTTCCGGTGGGGTTTATTTTGGAAGGTGCAAAAGGAAGCTCCAATAAGCGATTCCTTCACTTCCGGTATTGTATAGTTTTTCACAATAGTTGAATGTTTGGGAACAAGATTTCAAAGTTGTTGTTTTTTTTTTTTAATCATACTGGTACTGAATCAACACAAGCACGTGTTAACACTCATCCATTCCCTCCTGAGGTTATTTCTTTGTAACAATAAAAAACCACAGCGGAAATAAAGTCCAGTTGTCTTGCTTTAGAAATTCTTGAGCTTTGTCAAGTCCTGGCTTACACGCAGCTTCTAAGATTAGCCTTTTTATATGGCGATATATCGTTGTTCTTCAGATATTTTAGAATTGCAGAGCAACAATGAACATGTTTTATATGGGTACATATATATATWTTTTTTCTTTAATAGGCTTTTCTAAACAATTAAATGCCATACATTTATAACAAACACTAACTTTTGCCTGCAGAATAAAAAATTTTGAAACTGATTATACTTAGAAAGTTTTAAGCAAACAGATTTGAGTCCTTTAGCACAAAAAAAAAAAAAAAAAAACACAGAGTGAAATTTATTTTGAAAACTCCAAACCGGAAGTTGTGTTGCTGTTTTGAACTTTGCGTGGTCCTGCTTCCTACTATCTTGTAGCTATGGCAAGTCGGAAAAAAACGCAATTAAACCAAGACAGCGGGGACAAATACTCAGTATTACTGCCTACGTACAACGAAAGAGAAAACCTGCCTCTGATAGTTTGGCTTTTGGTAAAATATTTCGGAGAAAGGTGAGTTTATGTGAAGCTGCTCGCCTAATGCTAGCTCCCGTTAGCGTTAGCATTAGCATCGCTAGCGATGAGCTGTCACTTAAACAGCTGCAACCGATTCATCAGACCTGAAACATGTTCTTTAGATAGTTTACGACACAGCTGTTGTTTTTTAAACATTTTTTTTTCTTATTGAAAAGGAAAAGGCAGAAAAACTTACAATACCACAGTTCAGTGATTTATCCTTAATATTTTCCCCAAACTGTATTTTGAACTTTGCACATCTTACTAACATTTATAGAAAAGAACAATGAAGAAAAGAGAAAAAGAGACAACACAGTTCAAACTAAAATAAAGAAAATAAATGTGAGTTACAGTTGTATTGTACATATTACAAATACTTTCGGTTTTTATAGCCTTGTTGTTGTTTGTAATGGATGTAAAATAGGTGCATTTTCTGTGCATTGTTGTACTTATGAATGTGAAACTTTGCAATAAACAAAATCAGATGTATAAGAAATATAGCAGAGGAGTATTTCCATCTTAGAATCTGTGATACCAAATAAAACAYGTTCAAAATACAACAATGTCTTCCCAAACCTGTGAGCAAATACATTTAAAAAAAAAGATGACCAGATGTCTCTGGATAAAGTTTACAGAAAGAACATGAAAGATCAACTTTGTATTTCTGAAGAAAGTATTTAGTTGGATAAAATTTGTGAATTGATTTAAAAGAAACTTTAATCTTTAATCTGTTGCTCTCTCAGTGGATATGATTATGAGATTATCGTCATTGATGACGGAAGTCCAGATGGGACACTGGAGGTGGCGGAGCAGCTGCAGAAAATTTACGGCAAAGATAAAATAGTAAGTTAAGATGTGTTACTTTAACGAGCACCAAGTTCTCTAAAACAAAATGCTTCATATTTTCCTGCAGAAAGTTGTGTCAAAGTCTTTATGAAGGTGTTGATTGTTGAGTAAAATCAAATAATACCCTAAAAAATTTCTTTTTTTTCTCCCTTTTTTCAGATTCTAAGGCCGAGGGCAAAGAAACTAGGCCTTGGTAAGTTGTGTAACAATCTGTTTTCTCTTTATAACCTTCACCGGTCGCTGACCATGTTCTGTTGTTTTAAAGGCACGGCCTACATCCACGGCATGAAGCACGCTACCGGCAACTTCATCATCATCATGGATGCAGATCTTTCCCATCATGTGAGAACGTTATTCATATTTTTGGTGTTTTATTAGGAAAATATGAGACCCGTCGCATCGAAACGAGGATTAAATCTAAAAGTTTTCTGTGGAGAAATAGGCAGATAGTGTTTTGATTAAAACGCTTGCAAAAATTACATTTTGTCAAAATGTAACAAATAAATGTGTTATCAATAAATCATTTCAATGAACTGTCTGAAATATTATGCTACCAAAATTATTCTGAAGCACTTTTTTGAGCAATAGCAACCAAAAACCAGATTTTGATGAAAAACGCCTTAAAATGTTGAGATTTTCACTGTGGACTATCAAAGGTTTTGTTTCTTTCCAGCTGGGAAATCTCAATATTCAAATAATATTTGAGATTTCTTTTTTCAAATGACAAAAAATCCTCATTAAAATTACATAAAATTAGGATTCAGACCAAGTATTTATATATTATCGTAACCAACAAGACAAATTAAATAATATCTCTGGATCTATTTATGATATCAGGACGATTTAAGTATCAAAATGTAGTTTTTAAAGTCAGGAATCAGAAAATATGATGAGGTCATTTTGAACAAATTTGACTTAATCCTCATTTTGATGTGATGGGTCACATATGTCTTTACTGATCCAACAAGTAGAATATAAGAAATGTGACATAATCTTTTTGTTTAATCTGGAAAACCACCTTAAACCAAATATTTTACTTATTTCTGATCTTTAACTTTATTTTTCCTCTAAGTTCAGTGACTGATGCTTGGTATTTTCTTACTCTTTTTTTGTTTTCAGCCCAAATTTATCCCTCAGTTTATTGAGTAAGTATTTTTATTTTTTAATCATCTAAAAAAATCATATATATTTCTTTATCAATATGCTTTCGTGTATCATGTGTTCATCAGGAAGCAGAAGGAGGGGGATTATGATCTCGTGTCTGGTACTCGTTACAAAGGAGACGGAGGAGTTTACGGTTGGGATCTGCGCAGAAAACTCATCAGGTAACGGCTAACTTTACCAGCTTATGCTTTTTAACTGTCGTGAAGCTGATCTCATTTCTTTTGTTCTTAGTCGAGGAGCAAACTTTTTGTCTCAGGTGTTGTTGAGGCCCGGTGCTTCGGACCTCACAGGCAGCTTCAGGTAAGAGACGTGAGTCTCAAAGTGTTGGTGAACAAGGCTGGGCTTGCTCAACATTAATCAGTTTTTGTTTTCCTCACTTTCCTCAGGTTGTACAAGAAGAAAGTGTTGGAGAGTCTGGTGGAGCGGTGCGTCTCCAAAGGCTACGTTTTTCAGATGGAGATGATCGTTCGAGCCAGGCAGCTCAGCTACACCGTCGGAGAGGTGAACTCTTAAACACTTTTTTCTCCTCAGGTCTTTAAAATGTGGAATTAGATTTGTAGTCTTGAATAAGTATAGAAATATGGAAGACCGACACTGCCATAATTAGAAATAAAAGCAGAAATATATAAATTGACCAATAAATCAATAAATACACTTAAAAATGCACCAATTAAATTAAGCAAAACTTCATGTTCTATAACTTAATTGACCTTCATATTTATTTTTCCAGCTTAGTTCCAATAAATTATATATTTTAGGACATAACTTATTTTTAAAAATATAATTTTTGTGTTTTTCCTTTTACTTGTACATGCATTTGTGTCTCTTAAATGATTATATTTACAAGTCCTTATTTTCATGTGCCTCATTATGCAAAAAAAGTGGGTGGATCTTCATGGGTCAGCTCCTCTCCTATTGGTCAACAGACAGGAAGTAGCAGGATCCATGTGCAGATCTACTGTGCATGCTTGTGATGCCTCGTTTTAACTTAGAATTTAAAGTTTAGTTTAAAACAAAGTCAAGGAGGAAAACGTGTCTTTTAATTTAAACTTTAAGCTTTGGATCTTGCTCCTTCCTGTCTGTTGACCAATCGGAGAAGAGCTGACCCAAGAAGCCACACCCACCTTATTTACATAACGAGGCAGAAATGCATAAGGTAAAGTAAAAACAGGAGACAGAGAAATGTAAAAACGGACGCAAATATATGCACAAGTAAAAGGAAAAACAAAATTTAAATTATGTGGTAAAATATATAATTTATTGGAACTAAGCTGGAAAAATAAACAAGGTCAATTAAATTATAAAACATGAGGTAAAATTCTTTTTTAATTTAATTGGTGCATTTTAGGTGTATTTATTGTTCTATTTATATATCTCTGCTTTTATTTCTAATTATTACAGTTTTGGTCCTCCATATAGAAAAGCATGAATGTTTCCAGACTCAATTACAAATTGTATTTTCTAGATTAAAAAAAATTAGAATTTCTAAAAGTTACTTGAAGATGCAGATGATTTTTCTCAAAACTGGSCACTGGGAAAAGAGATTATCTTTTGTCTATGAGACACCTCGTGTTTACTTTTTGTCATCATTTAGAAAAATGTGATTTTAACTATTAAGTTTCAAGTTTAGTTAAAGTTCTCCACTGCCATGAGGCATTTCCATCTCTTTAAACATGGCCAGGATGGATTTCTGTCATCTGTAAAAATGAGAAATGGAAAAAAAAAGTAGTGTTATTTTTTGTTGTCTCTCTGAAGCAGTCTAATCTAATGAAACAGGATTAAACTGGCGCTGCTCTCAACAAATCAAAAAAACCAGAGGTGTAGTTTCCTCCAATCAGAGCGAAGCAGGACGGGTCTTTGTGTGTACGCTGAGGCCAGGTGTCTGCAGGTGAAAGCACCGATCAGTCTGTCGAACAGACACATCCAGCTCTGCGTGATATTATAGAAAAACAAAGTTTGAATGTTTAAGCTTGTTTATATTTAGAACCACACTGTGACAGACCTGCACTGGGATCAGTATAATTCAATACATGATCAAATATGCACAATAAATGTAAGTAAATGAGCTGAAACCTTCTAAATAATGTCTTGTTTAATGAAATAATAATTTTAAGGTAGAAATTAACAAAGAAAATAATGTAGTTTTGAGTTATTTTGTGTTTTGCAAAAGACAGATAATTGCTATAGTTTTATATGAAGTTGTAGCACAAACAGCAATTCATTTATTTAATGTGTTTGCACTAAAAGGTTACGCAGATGCTAAATTTAGGTACGACCAAATCCGACTCAAACTTTGCCAAAAGTGAAAAAAATTTAAATTAATTTAATTAATTTAAAATTTAATAAATTGAAAACACTGAAAAACATAAATGTAAACTACATAAAAACTGTTTAAAAATCCCCCTTTTTTATAAATCCTTTTAGTCCTGAGGATATAATTAGTTCAGGTTAAAATCTTTATTAGGGAACACTGTATTGTTCATTTTTAGTCAAATTATTATTTCTTTATTTTTGCTTTAACCCGTGTTTGCAGTAAGTTCTACAAACTAACCAAATAAAAATGAACAAAAACTATAAACAAAATTCAAACAAGGGTAACATTAAAAAATATATTTCCCAAAGAAAATATTCAATGATTTGAAGTCTTCATGAATCAGACAGCTGTGGTTAGTGATGAGGTTTAATGGAGCGTGAGCGCCTCCCTGTGGAGAGATGAGAGAACTGATTCTCAGATCCACAGAAGATAACCGGTTGGAATTAGAGATTTTTATGGTTAGGGTTAAAAATAAAACAAAACTTAGGTCCAATTTGTGCAGAAAATCGCCTCAAATACGTAACAGAAATACATTTTTACTTTCCCAGTAATTCGACTCAAATGAAAAGCTGATTGTGTTTTCCTCTGAACCACAGGTTCCCATCTCCTTTGTGGACAGAGTTTATGGAGAGTCGAAGCTGGGAGGGAATGAGATCGTGTCGTTTGTGAAAGGACTGCTCACGCTGTTCGCCACGACGTGACCAACGCTGAGAGAGCGTGTCTGCCACGCTTCAAGCTTGGCTTTCACTCAGAGCTTTTACCAGAACGACCACAAAGAGAAAAGGTTTCATCGTTTTTTTCACTTCATGTGTAAAATACTGTTTGTGTTAGCAGCTAAATAACGAGTAGTCTTCAGAAAACCAAAGAGAAACAGTGCTTTGTGTAGAAACCTCTTCATTCCCAGGATGCTTAGTAACATTTCCACAAGTAATTGTTTGTAAAAATTAAAACGTTTGCATTACCTGCTCTCTCTTTTTGTTGTTATTTTTGCCATAAACCAATTAGTCAATCTGAAACTAGATGCAAGAGCAGAAATGTTTGCTCTATTATTTAATGGTTAAGATGAACAGCAAAGCTATACTATAAAATACCTTTTATTTATTTACTTGAAAACTTTAATTCAATAGACTGGGATTAATAGAATTAATACTTGAATTACCTTGACAGTAAACCCAGAGTACCCAAATAAAAAACTCTAAAGACAGAAATTCACTCTTTAATGGCAATTTCAATAAAGGCAGAGGGTCTGCAACTAAAAATAACCTTCAAATTAATATTTATATTCTGTACTACTATTAAAAAAAGCTAATTGTAGCACTTCTGTTCAGGTTTCTGCTACATCTGGATAACATTTCTATAAGAACATGACATCAAAAAAGTGCTTCCACTAAACTGGGTTGAGCAAATTGAGTAATTTACATATTTTCTTTAAAAAAAGTGTAAATTTCTTWACATTTATTTGCTTACAGAGTATAGAAACAACTCCTTTCATTATGAGTTGTGGTCATTTAAACTTGTAGCTTGTAATGAGGTGTTAAATTTTAATGTAAAGAAGGAAAAGTATAATTTTACATTTGAAATATAATGAAAGTAAACGTTACGATTTTTAAAAATGCTTGGTAAAATTACAGATCCTCAAAAAATTACTTTAAGAAAGTAAAGGTATTTTGTTACAAACCTTACAAACACCTCTGTCCACAACACATCTCAACCTAAACATACTATAATGAGAGGAATGCAGTATTTGTTTTTCAAAAGGTGCTTCAAATTTACAWTTAAAATTTGGTTTTTAACTGTTTTTTTGTGATATGTTGTAAAACATAGAAATTTCATCTCATCTACATAATTTTCTTTCACGTGTACTTCAGTATTTATCATGTATTTAGTGGTAAAAGTGGTTAAGTGTAATGATTCAGGGCCCTGTTCCACTAACAGGAAAGTAGTCCCGGCTGCCGGTTTAACAGCACCGCAGATTACAGCGCCACCTAGCGTTAGCTTAGCTTCCAGCTGCGTGCTGAGGCACTGTGCACATCCGACTCTCCGCAGGGGAGGAGTATCCAGAAGGACGCCCGCTGTCGGCCTCTTCACGTAACTACTGCGCGGGCTTGTTTACCCCACAGCCGGGGGACTCTCAAACTAAAACCTTCTGCGGACTCTTTGGGACAGAAAAGGTGTGGGTTTTTTTTATTTTTAATAGAAGCATTTTAATTGGCCAAATTGACGGAACCAATTAGGAGTTAACGCGGCCATGGGAGGATCTCGATGAGATAATTTATGCTAATCGACTGGACGTCACTTCCTTTTCTTTGATTTGCGCCATTTTGGATAGGGCAGCCTGCGGGCTGGATGTGTATTGTCTGTCAGGAGAGAATGAGGAAAGAGAAAAACGCTGCCAGAGAATCACACAGAGTTTAGTTAATTTATTTAAGACCGTAAAGAAAGCCGGTTGATGCCGTGAGACCACCTTCACCGGTCCAGGAAGTGGAGGTGTTTTTTCACTCGCCCGCCGGAGCTCTGTTTCCGCCTGCCGACTGTAAGGAGAGAGGATAGCCCGTGTCACCGAGGAGCTGTCGGGATTGGAAGGTACACCGACGGCCGGGGTGACTTGTTCTTCCCCGCAGCCACCTGTGAGCACGTCACCGTGCAGGTGAAAGTGTCAACACGACGGCCTCGGACATCTTGAGGTGGCACCCTTCACTCAGGCGGGAGCTCTGGATGTAAAAATCAGGTAAACCCGGGTGAACGCCGGGGGGGGAGAACCCACTAATCGTGCCTGCCTACCTGCGTGATGTGATGGGTGGTGGTGGGTGATGGGGTGGGGGTATAAACACCTCGTTTGTCGTCCTGTTTGTTCAATCAAACATTTATTTATTATAAGTACAAATAAAGATGGGAGCATTTTAAACAGCCAGTGATGTTGTTAGTTAGCTTAGCATGTTAGCTCAGCACGGGGTGCCCCCCCCCCCTCATTCTTTGTCAGCTGCAGCAGCATTTTTTGACAAAACGTGTTTATTTTTTAATTGTACCCAGTAACAGATATTTTTGACTCATTTTAAAAGTGTTTCTATGTTAAAGGCTAAGAGTGAAAGGCACATCACAGTGTAAACAAAGTTTTATATTAAACATCTGTGATTGTGGTGAAGGATTGTTTGTGTTTTAGTGATTATCCAGGTGAGTTCTGTAGAGGGAGGAGTGACGTCATAATCACTGACATCCTTTCACCTGTTTTCTCACTATAAGCAGGTGTTGAGCCACGGGGTGAAACCTTATTGCTTTAAAGCATCTGAGAGTTTTCTTCCATCACAGTGGATGTGAGGAGACGTGCCTGTCTTTATTGAGGGGGATATAAACACGACGTCAGGATGTTGGTTATTGTTGTGGTTGAAGATTGAGCAAACATTTAAAAGGTTTCCAGGCCTGTCTCTTTTCTGTTTAGCACCACTTCAGAACAGGGAAGCTGTTTTCTGCCAGCAGCCCTCAGAGCAGCCTCCTCCTGCATTTCCTCCTTGTCCTCTTCCCTCTCTCCCTCCCTCCCCTCCTAAACGTCGCCCCCTCTCTCTCACCCTCTTCCATTTTCTCCCTTTCCTCCTCTCCTCTGACCTCCCTGCCTCACTCCCTCCCCCTCCACTTCCCGTGCCTCACTCCCCTTTCCTCTCATCTCTCCCCCTTGCACTCCTTCCACACTCGCCTGCTCACTCCCATCCACCCTTCCTCCAAGCTCCCTCATCCTCTCTCACACTCCCCCTCCCCCCCATCCCAATCTCCCCTCTCACTCCTTCTGTCCCTCCTCTCCTCCCTCCTCCTCCCTCCCTCTGCTGCAGACATATTGTAGGGGCTGCTGCTTACTCAATAGGAGGCGCCATTCTGTGATGGCAGAGAGAAAAGGGGCCAGGCAGAATATAGCAAGGCTTACATAATGGGAGTCCTCTGCAGCGCCATCTACAG